ATCAAGGACTTGCACAAAGCCATACAAAATTTCACGAGATATGTACAAAATAGTAATTATATTATTCCAAATGGCGAAAATATATTTCTTATACCATACCAATTTACCAATATACCATACCAAACTAACTTTACAAAATAGTGGCCATTAAATAGTAAAATCACTTGGTTGTCCGTTGAATATAAATACGCATTGTATAGTTCTTGGTATTTTTTTATTTATCCGCATAATTGCATTCCATCTGTTTCATATAGTCACTCTTTAGTTGTTCAGATATATAAATAGTAATATAGAGTAATAATAGTAATAATAATAATACATTTATTTGCATCTTCAAAGGTAACACATACAAAAACAATATTTATAACATAATGCAAAAAGGGGCTGGGAAGCAATTAAATTGTCCAAGTTCCAGCCCCTAAATCTTACCCAACTTCCAAACTAAAAAGCATAATATCACAGAGGAGAGATTTTTTTCTTTTTCAAGTGCATTAAAACGTTTGTCAAATTTTGCAATTTTGGGGGGAGAACTGACGAGTTTAATGATAATATAAAAATAAAAGCTTCAACCATAGTGCGATACTGGGAAATACCAAGTGCATTTTTTTTTAAATACTAATAGAGAAGAAGCAATTAGATTGAAGTACGGGAATCTATTTTTCTCTAAGTCGTAGTTTCTTTAGTTGCCTTTTAAATCTTTGTATGTTTAATTTTTTTAGTGTTAGGGGAAGTTCATTGTACAGGCTATACACGTTGTAGGAGAAGCTTATTCTGAACAATGTGGTAGAGTGAATAACATCCACAATCTACTATACGGCCGCTTTCGACAGAAGCTACATTAAGTATAAATTGGTTAATTAGATTGAATTTGTAAAAATGTTTTCAATGCCTTGTTAAAGTGCACACAGATTCTTAAGTCTATATATAGTGAACGATAGAATTCTTAAATTCTTAGATTGTTTTTAATGTTGCTGGAGATAAATAAATAAATTTTTCGAAATAAAACAATTTAATCATTTTTATTACCTTATTACATATAAATAAATAAAACTACAACGATGAGCGTTTTTGCTGCACCATGAGGTATATATAGCAATTTTCTGTTGCATTACGTAGAGTTTATTTAAAAATATTACTCGTTTGTTTGTTCTACATTTGAAAACCAAATGAAATATCGAAATGCGAATCGCAAAAAAAAATAGATAAGCCAAGGCGCCGAAACGTATTCGCATGGAATAAGGGACGCGTCAAAATTCGTACCGCAATGCGGCGACAAAGTTGCAATCGAAACATCTGCCATTTTAATTCCCTATATACCGTGGAGCAACAAGTGAACTGGTCTGGTCGGTTCGACTTCGATTGGCTTAGTTGGTGTAAAAAGCCAAAAGCCATCAGCTGCCACTAAATAAGGACTTTATTGGGATTATTAACATGCAGCGGGGCCGCTAATTATAATAAACTCGAAAGTCGATAGCTAACCGGCAACGGAACAAGGCGACTGACCGAGAATTGGATTTTTTTCTCTTGAGCCGGTTGTTGCGTGAATTCTGAATTCGGCACCGGGGAACGTAAATTGGTGAGGTAATTTGAGGGAAAAACTGAACTGTCCGGTGAGCGGAATGGGTAAAGTTTTTGGGGTATTTTTAACATTGTCGTCAGGCTGTCCTACGACATGGCTACCATAGCTTGCGCGTGTGTTGCTGGGGTGATTTCAAGTTAAAAATATCAAATGAGTATATAACTAACCAATTCGACAATTTATAGTCCAACCCTTTAGATGTTGTAATATTGTTCATTTCGGCAGAAATTATGTAATATAATTTATTTAAAACAAATAAAAATGTTCGCTGCCCTATCGTTTTCTTTGCAAATAGTTGGGATAAGTTTTCTTTTATTGAAATAATTTGTCTAGTTTTGTTAAAAATATATACTAGGGGTATGATTTTTTAACTACTGTTTGAATATTTCAGATGGCTGTCCAATAGAATGCCAAGATATTTGATATTTGTTTTTTATTTCTATTTGCCCCCACTCAGATGTCAGGTAATTCTCAATATTGTTAATGCTAAGGCGTTATTAGAAAAGGTCTATACACAGTTTTTTGCAAATTTATGGTAAGCAAGTGTTCATCAAACCAGCAAATAATAAAAGTGTTCCATTAATATTCATCGTAAGTAAATCATTTAGGTAGATATTAAATAAAATGGGACCTAAGACTGTTCCCTGTGGTATTCCACAGTTAACAGTTTGTTTGCTCTTAATTCTAACTGTTGCTTTATGTTATGGAGGTAGCTCTTGAATAGATGCGCAAGACCCCTGACACTAATTGATTCTAATTTGTTTATTAATAACCTATGACTTACTGTATCAAAGGCCTTGGCCACTCAGTGAATGTATTTATGACGTTTTGCAAAAATTTATCGGTATAGCATGCCACACGTTAGTGACTTTCTTTTGCCACTCGTTCATTAAGCATTCGCTCTGCAACATTATAGCTTGCCAACGGTGAAAACATCAGGTTAGAACAGTGAACTCGAAGTAAATTGGAATGGCGACGGCGTTGCTACTAATGGAGTCTTTCTCTTACTCACTTATCTAAATGGAAGAATATGTTGTAGACTACTTCATTTATAATTCTTACCTAGACATTATAATATTCCTAAAATATTTTCTATAAATATTTGTAAAAAATAAAATAAAAAGCGTAAAGAAATGAATAATGCTTATTAAGTAAAATTAATGTTTTTTTTTAACGTGTCAAGTACATTAATTGGTCAAAAAATAGAAGTGTCTATTGTTTCAGAAGTACTTTATAAAAGGCTTACAATACTGACGTATTAACAAAAATATGAACATTTAACCATTTTTTTTTTATTTTTTGGAAAACGTAAAGCCTTTAAATTTGTGCAATAAAAGGGATTTACTATCTTGATTTTTTTTTATTAATTTACCTCAGCATGAAATTATTAATGATCTACATTCACGAGATTGTCACCGTCCAAAATGGTCAAAATAGATTACATCCAATGAGTTCAAACGAGAGAGAGAAAAATTGACAAATGTCGCGGAACGGAAAGGTAGACATTGGTAGTCACTGATTTGTGTGCAAAAATAAAGCACACAGATGTCGGCCAATCAGATATTCCCAATTTCATTTCACACTTGTGAAGAGAAACATGAAGAGGAACTAGGGGCAGTTCTTTAAATAAGTTTTTTTATACAAACCAAAATGAAAATTCGATATTCTTAACCACTTATCTTATCTACATATACCTACCATTGAGAGACGTTATTTCTGAAATAAAATTTTTAATATCACTTAATTTTAAAAACATAGGTGTAATCTTTAATTTACTCAATAATATGTGTTGTATATATGCACATAATTATCGGGAAATGGTAAAAAAATGTTTTAACACAATATTTCGCAAAAACATTGAAAACGTATTACTACGCTTTTCAATTTAGTACTTTTACTAAAACTTTATTAATTTTTAGCGACATATGACCCTGGAAATACTATACAGGTACACTTATTTTGCGTACCTTTTTCTAACGTGAGGCCATTTATATCAAAAGCGACATTCCTGAACAAGCAGGAAATGAGAAACATTCTCTCACAAGAGGTAAGAAAATTCTTCGGATGTCATTACAAAAGGCACAAGTCAGTTTATTATTAAAGATTACGTCGAAAATTATTTTAAAAATATTTTTTATCCCGTGGAGTAAAATTATTATTAATTTCTTTTATTTAAAACCTACTTTTGGTATCGATTAAGGTACTCTCCTCAGTGCTCTTTGTTTATCTACATTAGAGGTTACTTTAAAAAATTTTGGGAGATGCACGAAAAGCAAATATTTTAATTGCATTCCAGGAACTTCTGTACAATTGTTATTGTAATAAGATTCTGAAAATTCAACAACAAACGTATCGCCAATAATCAAAAACCGAAGAGCTGCCACTGGTTTGGTACAATCCAAGTATTCATACTGCTGTTGATGTTAGGTTCCTTTTCATTGTTGGGTTCATTATCTGTTGTGGAATAATTAGAAAATAAAATAAAAAATAGGTTTTATTGGAGAGAGTGCGCTGTCGTTTATTTTAGAACCACTTTTTCGAAAAGTAAAATAATGCAATTCATAAACAGAATAACAAAAATCTTGTTTTTCTTAACTGTGACTGATTATCGATAATAAATGATCAAAATAAAAGAAAACAAAAATATGATCTTCTTAAGCTTAATTATGAAAAAAAAAAACAACCATTATAGCTATACTAAATTTTTTACCGTTTTTTATCCGTTTTACCCTAGTTTCCAAAAATCGTTGCTATTAACCCACGCGTCATTAGAAACACCCTCTAAAGATTTTCAAACGTTCCACCCAATATGGGTTTGTATAGAGTTATTATATTGCCTTTGTTTTCGTTGGAAAAGCTTTCAAGTTGATTGAATTTTATTTGTCTGGCATATGTGACCCGCCTCGTGCCGATCTTTATGACGAAAGTTTTTTTCCATATTTGTGTCCATGTTTGCCAGACCCATCTAAGGAGATGTGCCCCACCATGTGTTTTCTATATAGTAGCGTACAGAAATCACCCCTCTAAATGCAAATTTCATCACGATTCAATTTATTGATAAAAATTTTAATATGCGGGATCCCTACAGAAAATATGATTATCCACAACGCATTGAAAAATACGATGTATTTTCTAAATGTATGTAAAATATATAGGCCAATAAAGAATGAACTTTGAATAAACCACGATGTGCTGGTAACTTTTTTTATACACTATAGCAAAACTGCGGTTACATTAACAACCGTAAAGCCTCCTAAACCCTACCCGTTCGCCGAAATATACAGAATTGAACAGTTACCTGCTGAGAACATTCCGCATTTTTTGCGCATCCCTTTCACCCCGTTTTTATATGAACGACACAGTTTTGAATCTCTCCCACAAAAGATTTTACATGGTTTGGAAATTTAAATTTTTTTTGTAGGATCAATTTTACAAAGGGCGTTTTGGTTGCCTTAAGCAAATCGTTTAAATGCATAGCGGCAATTTTACAGTTCCCTAGAAACACTGGCGGTATCTGGGAAAATTGCCAAAAAAAAGTAGAAAGTTTGCCGGCAATATTGCAGTTATGGAGGGAGCAGCTTTCGTCAGTAAGTATCTCATGCATACATAGTTTGTTGTTGTATGTAGGTGCTTGTGTTTTTGGATATAAACACATATAGGCTCCACTAAGATCAGGGGTAAGTGAGTTTCTTTTTCCGATATTTCTTAGTCAAACAAAATAATTTCTGTATACTACAATCCATAGCTGGAAAATCCGATAGGGGTATTAGGTCAGAAAATTCAAAAAACAAAGTCTTATTTTCTCTTGTTATCCAATTTAACTGCGTGTTTTAAATTGTATAAGGTTGACGTACTGATTAAGCTTTATCTGACTGGATCCTAATTACTACTTACAGTAATTTATAAAAGGCGGTGTAAACAAAGTCATTGGTATGTTTGAGAAATAAGTAACTGTAAAATATTTAACTTTTGTTAAACATTCAATAAAATCAAAGCAATTTTTAAAATAATTGTTTCAAATGATACCACATCATTCGTTTGCGCGTTTTTGTCAACAAATATTTAGGCATTTACTGACAAAAAAATTGACTGTTATGAAATATCCTTATTGATCACGCGTAGGGCTTCGAAACTACAAACTATGTAGAACCACTTAAAATTTTGTGGCTTATTGATACAGGTTACCTTTAATTTTTATTTTTCAAGGTGATAAACCATTTACTGATCTTTTAAATGCACACTAAATAAAACGAACAAATTCAGACGATTATTTTTTCAAATAGATTTATGTCCAAAAAGCGTTAAAATAATCGTTTTGAAAGTGTCAATTAATTCTTCTACTTCTTGTGTTTTAAGAACTTTTGCAATGTAAATTAGTTCTCCGGACATTCCCCAACCACGACTTTTCCTTAAGAGGTCCAATCTAAAATTTTTATTGGGAATCGATATTGTGGCATTCTCTGTACGTGTCCATGCCAGATCGACTGCTGAGTTCTAATTTCATTGATAGTATCGTGTTTTATTTCTATGTTCTGTCTTATCGTATCGTTTAATATTCTGTCCCTTCTAGATTTTCCGGACGCCCTTCTCCAGTATTCCGTACCTCTTAGTGTTTTCTGTGTTTTTTCTTTCAGAGGTCAAACTTCGATGCTTTTCTGTGTTTTTTCTTTCAGATGTCAAACTTCGATGCTTTTAACGATTGAATTGTAAATTATTTTTTTGTTATTTACATTTATATTTTTGTCCCATAGTACACATGTCATATTTCTCCATCAGTTTGCAGGTGATCCATATCGTCTGCAACAACAACAACGATAGAGTGTAAACGGGATACTCTTCATCCACTTGTATTCCCATATTCTTGCACTTTCGCTTCCAAATCTTTAGTGCGTTTTCCAAATAAATTTTAAATAACGTTGGAGACATGCAACAACCCTGTTTAAGGCCTTCGGTAACCATAAATCCTGTTGTTAAACCATAATTTGTTTTAGCTCTCGTTCTTGTTCCTCGATATATTATTTCTGAATTTATAGTGTTTTGTTGTAAAGCCTTCAACAGTTTTACTAGGGGTACGCTGTCATCCGCTTTTTTGAGAGAACAAATAAGAGATGAACTGCTTGATTAAATGCTCTCTTCTTTTCTACGAGTTGTGAGAAAAGATAACCAATTGTGGATTTTCCTGCTCTAAAGCCTGCTGGTTCTTCAGCCTCCATATCAGCAAATCCCTTTCTATTCTATTTTTTAGTACGATTTATGCTCCCGTCGAATCTTCCATGCATGTAAGTAAAGTAAGTAAAAATTTATAATTTTCGTTTTGTTTTCTCAACTAATTGTAGTCATAACTCGCCTTCCCCTTCAGATCCAATAACGTCTCGTTAGGAATTTTTCTAGTCCAAGGACTTAAATTTTGAACGCTTTAAATAGTTTTGTAGTTTGAGCCACGTATCTACCCTATACAACGACAAAGACCAGGTGTAAACATTCTAAGAATATTATTCTTATGGACATGTTTAGGTTATTGTTCGTTAGCATCGTAGATAACAATGAATATGTGTAGTATACCCAATTACATATAACTGAAAACCTTTTTCTTGGGAAAAGTCGGAATTAAATTTGCAAACTAGGCAAATTGTCAACGGCGTCACGTGTTTATAAAATATAATAATTAGGCTCCGCTGAATCATTAATGAACAACACTTTATATCAGTTTTAAAAGCAAAGCTTACGACGAATTACACATGAATTACTATGTATATCATACGCTGGTCAATAAAAATTGAAGAAAAAATATGAAATATGGTCACTTGGGTTAGCCGGTATTTACTGTTTCCTCCCATTATTCATTGAGATACATAAATAAATTTTACAGCCCCATAACAGCTGTGCCATCGTGAAAGAACTTGGAACTGCGTATTTAGTATTCAATTTTTGTGCTGGGACTTCGTATATCCGCCATCGCTTTCTATTGGAAACCCTCTTGAGATTTCCATTGTTTAGGTCTTTTTAAGGTCGATACGTTTCAAATTAAATTACGTGGACACGCTCTGGATAATTGAGAATTGTCTTTTTGAATGGGTGTTAACGATTTCTTAATAATTTGCGGAACTATCGGTACAGGTGATCTGGCGTGATAATTAAGCGTGTTTATGCCTCCGGAACGATTTGACAATGATAAAATTTATTCTTTTACATACAGGACCTTCCAAATGCGAAAAACTAAAAGGACGATTCCTTGTTTAAAGTAAAGGGTTGTTTGTAAATAATGTATTTACTCTTTATCATAAAAACGCAAACTGATAGAACAATAAAATATTACTATTATAAGAACACACCTTCTGCGTATTTCTAATTTTTTAAAAATATTTAAATTTTAAATAATAAAATTTAAAGGAAAGTTTACGCAATGACATAAAAAAAAATATAAGTAGCCCACTAGATCTTTATATCTAATAATTTTATTTTTTTTCTCATTATGCATTGCTTTAGATTTAATTTGTTTATCTGGACATCGTAAGTATTATGAAAAAGTCTAATTAAAAAAAAAGTGAAAAGTGTGTTTTTATAGTAGTAATAATATCGTAATAATTTATTGTTCTATTTTCGGATAAAATAAAAAATGAAAATATATATAGCTTGCGTGTACCCATAGTTTGGCAACTCTTTCAACACCTCAGAACAAAGGTTCGACAGAACAATTTTTGTTTCTTTTATTTGATTTAATTCAAGTTGGCGATAGCGTACACTATTGACATTAAGCTTTATCAACAATTTAGCTACAGAATTATGCGCTTTGAGGAAATGTATAAATATTTTTAAAATCCTTGACGACTTGGAAAACTATATATACAAGCAGCTACTTGTATAAGAGAATACAATTCCTAGGGTTTTTTATGTTTCAAGCACCGAATTTGTTTGAGTGAAAGATTTTTATACAATATTTATATATATGCCTTTTCATGAACAAGACAAATATGTGGTGTATAAATAATGGCAATATTATATAGTACTTATATTTATACAAATTAAATGTACAAACACAATGGTCAATGTCAAACGTACCAGTTCAATCAAATAAATGTCCAAACGTTCGGCCCAAATGAAAGCTATTTGATGAAAGAAAACGTGTGGATACTTGCAGGAAGACGACCTTAAATAAACGTCTTTGGGAAATTAAATGGGTCCAGGCCGTCAGGCGATGTAACGTGTTTTCTGTAGCATAATAAAGGCAGCAATCCGCAACGGCAATACAGAGGTCCGTGGGCTGATTTTGACACAAATAGCATAAAGTTAGTAGACGCTAATGCTAATTTACAACGATTGCATTCGGCACGAAAATGGCGACTGGTGCACTTTTATTATTGTGACGCGACCGCCGATGCACATAATGCATTGGCGGCACAGTGGGTATTTACCATAGATTGTTTCACTCGCTTAGGCTTTCCAAATATCTGATCGGTTTATTGTTTGTAGAAGACAGGGAATCTACTCTAAAATTTCGAGGGACTCACGTCTATTTTTATTTAAAAAATTACAAAATCTAGGGATCGTTTCATAAAGAAATCCAAGAATCCAGACGATATTTATCAACAAACGATGCAGAAGGAATATGTGTAAATAGCACAATTTTTTTTGCCTAAATCAACCAAACCTAAACTAAAAAAGAAAAGCAATAAAACAACACGGATCTTTGAATCAGTACCTTGTTCAATTATTTATGAAATGTTCACTTACTTTTTAAATGTTAGCAAAAACAGTTTTTACTACAACACAACCCAACATTTCAATAGTGAACTGATTAATAATTAAACTAAACGAACTAACCCAAACTAATTAATAATTACACAGGCGCCAAGGTCGACAAGTTGCCAAGTCGTGATAGAAATTTGAATTTCTTCTTTTTTAATAATAACGTATTATTGAAATTGTGTTTTTAGATCAATAATACAATAATTGATTATGACGTTCTTCTCTCATAAATCCGAATTTTCTTATTGAGTTATTTTTGGAGGAATGTAGAGACGTAATAATTTGGATTTATATCCTTATTTAAGTAAGCTGACAAAATAAAATGGTATTTCCATTTATTTATCAAGAAATGTTCAGTAATGTTAATGTGTTGAGTAATCTTGTCCTGCAGTTTTTGTCCAGGTGGTATTTGGAATTTCGTGAAGCAGGCAACTATATTTTTAGGTTATGCAATGACTGATTAAAACTTCTTAAACTCTTCTCTAACAGCTGCTACGACAACAAGGGTCAATGGTTTTCTCGTTTCATTAGTTAAAAATATCGGATTAACGCTACTTTTGCAAATATAAAAGGATTCCAACCAATAAGATAGCAAAAATTAATAACAAATCGAAAACAAATAGAGAAAACAAGAGCAGACCTCATAAACTAAATAAAATTCCTCGTATTTATTATCTAGCATCGATTCTCTCCTAGATGCCTTCTGACTTGAAAGAATTGCTAATTTGTCTGCTTCAACAGAACCAGTCACTGAACAGTCTTAAACCGATAATTTTTTGCAAGGTTTAATTTTTCCGATAGCTTGAGAACTTTTTTATCAGTTCCAATTTTATTCATTTACTTTTACATTTCCGAGAACTAGAATAATACTTCGTGTAACAAGTCACTAAATTTAGATCGAACGGGAAAATTGTTTTCATGTATGCAAATTTACTTTTTAAAAGTAGCAATATCTTTTTACTACTAACTCATATGTTTGATATTTTTTAAAAAGGTTTGGGAAATCGAAATCTATATAAACTCCGTTTTTTTTTTTTGCTGATTTCTGAACTGAAATTACCTTCACTACGCCAATGGTCGTCGATCACGAAGCTTATTTGAAACTGCGAAAAAAGCGAGGTTCTAAATTAAACACTTTATATACAAAATGTCTGCATTTTGTTGCTTTGCTTTTGTCATTAGTATCCGCTCACAGTTGCGAGCAAAGGATTTGGATTATAATTTTCATTGTAGGGCTGGGCTTATAATGGAATTTAAGTATGATATCTGAAAATCAAATGCACTGAAATGGAACTCCCCACATAATAAGCAATATAAAAATCTCTCATTCGGAAGTCGCTTTAATTAGTTCAGTGTACCTGCCAAAGAAAAGCCAAAAATCGTTAAAACAACTTTATAACGTCTGACGGTTTTATCTTCCGTTTCCAGATATTTATATAGTATAGAGGCAACCCAGCTCTATCAACACCACTTCAAGCCGCTGAAGTAATGAACCAAATCGGATTAAACTCGGCGATTCAAGACACGATTTTCTAGCTTCTTTTTTAATAAAATAAAAAAAAACTAACTTTACGAAATCTCATCTCTTATTTATTTCGCGCGTCAGACGTTGAGTGCCCATTAAATTCAGCTTAAATCTCGAAACCTGCCCGATTTTTCAGGATTAAATTCTTAAAACTTCTACGGTTTCCTGAAAAGAGCATGTCGTATTCCTCTTACTCGCTAATTGGATTTCAAGCGTATAAATTTAAAGAATACATTTGTTAAACAAAACAAAATTTACATCTTGTGCCCGCCCCAACTTCTACTAAATCAAAATTGTTTTTCAAAGAAACACTTTTATACCAACATCTATACATTTTAATATCTGCAATTACTTCTAAAGGTAAAGCGGAGCTGAACTGGCATAAACAATGAATTAAGTGGTTTATTCAATAAATCATGCATTCAAACAGCGTTCTCAAGTGATGTTCTAGGGTAAATTCGCAAATATAATCCTCAAATCATAAAATTAGTTTTTACGAGGATTTTATGATCGACTTCCATGTCAAACGGTGGACAAGAATCGTCAATCTTTAACGGCCGATAAAAAGTTTACATTTATATTTAAACCACTTATGTCTTTTCTTTACGTACGCCGCAAATTGGAGTTGACATGATAAATTCGAAAAATTGTAAAGTTTCCGAACAAAAATTTTGTGTTAGACCCGATTAAAACCACAAATTTCAAATTTAAATGATGGGGATGTAAAAGCGTTTTACCTTGTACATCCGGATTGATGAAAACGTCAAACTATTGATGTACCGATAATTCATAAACGGCATATTAATTTTTGAATTCTGCATGTTTAAAACCCCCAGGTATATTGTATTTTATCGTTCAAGCTTTGCGATTTTGCTTTTACTTTTTACTGACAAAGTAGTTGCCGTAGCTCAGTATTTAATAAAAACATAATTTTGAAATTATTAGAACTCACTAAATTCATTCCAATAAAAATAAATAAGGTCTTTAAAATAACGAAATTATTACATGTAAGGTAAAAGAGATGAATCTGACAACATTGCTGTTAGCATTTTTGAACTTTGTGTTTGTTTCAGTCATGGTTGGAAAGTGCGCTAGAAAAATCAAGCCCCAACTACTGAAAGAAGGAAAGCCTTTGGAACTGAAAGAAAAAGAATATGCCAAACGAGAGAAAGAAAGAAAAACATCCATCCGCTAGGAAGGTAAAAACAAGGCTTAGCATAAATTTGAAGACGTGTTTGAAGAAAAATCCCCATATAAAAACGCCGTTTTGAGAAGTGACCCATGCTGATTATCAACGCCTTTTGTATTTCCTGTTGTTCTAATCAAAAGCTAGGCAGAGATGGATTAGATGGTGTAATTGCAAGCAGTGGGCACATGTCGATTGTGCAGACATTGCCCAAGAATAATAATGTAATAATAAATAAATATATAAATAAATAATAATAATCAAGAAATAATAAATAGTTTTAATACGTACATATGTATGTGTGTTTTAAGTTCCGTTTTTGCTAAGATCTTTTATATCAAGGTTTTATTATGTTTAATTGAAATAAATAAATTTGCGTGTGTTTCTTTTAAGTATGTCGCTTTACCTATTCCAAATAGAGCGCTACTTTTACTATGCCAGTACGAGAGCAATATTCACATAGCTTAGAAAAACCATTCAACTTTAAGACATAAGTTGCTAATTTCCAGGTTATACCCTACAGATGAAATTAACCGTTTAGGCCAACCAAAAACGAAAATAGATGGAACAATAAAATATTAGAGCAATATTACTATTACTTTTTGCATATTTGTTTTAATGGGTGAATTATATATATTATAGTGATATGTTACTGTTCTACTTATTTTCTTTTTGAAAATAAAAAATGGAAACATTATTTATCCGCCATATTTGAAGCGCGATATCCCCTTAAATCGAGGGCTGGCTTTGACCTTAGGTTTATATAACAAAATACGCTTTATTTTAAACAAAGAGTCAGCCCCTTAAGATTTTCACATTTGTCTTCAAACACTCTTTATAATGATTTAATTTTTTCACGTGTCTGATATTTTAGTTCTAGAATTGTATACGATATTCACTATCTCTAGTAAAGTATAATTTTCTTTCTCCTTAACTCGTTCTCTTTTTCCTTAGTAGTTGAGTTTTTTTATTTATTGGTATAATCATAAAAACAAAGTACAAACAAATTTAACTTGGATAAAAAATAACAATAATATAAAGTTGAGAACCTCTGGATGTGTAAAAAATAATTAACACAAACGGGTAAATACCAATGTGAAAAAATCATTTCCATGTAAACTTAAGTATGCTTTGGTAGCCCCACCTTTTAATAATTTTATAAAAAAAAAAGATGAATACATAGAAGACACGACAAAGCTTTAAAAAGCAGCGACCTATCGAATCAAACAAGCCGTGACCCTCCGGAAGTGTCTGCGGAGACGAACAACATGGCAACGTCAGACGAAACCAAGCAACATGGATTCCTGGAGACGACGCCATCGTACGTAAACAATTCAAACGTGGGTTTGGCCGTTCGGTTTGAAGTTTGAAACTTTCGAGTAAACAACGTGAAGTTTTTGATAAATAAATGAACGCGTCTGGTGAGTATATGACATTTGGTTTTTGTTACGTAATACTGAACAGACGCCTGTTATCTATTTTTTGTGTCCATTTTACGGATTAGGTGATATTTTGTTTGTGTAACTCGTGACGCGCTTTGCCGAAACGCATTCGTATGTTTATTTCATTAAGTTCAATGTAAATGCTAAACAGCTTTTCCCGTTAGATTAGCTAGACGACCGTTGTCACTTTCATGCGAGCCTTAACCTAAAAATTTTAAAATAGATTTTATGTTCTAAAGGTACTAAAATATATTCACGTCATGGTATAGGAAGCCTATTTTTTACATATGTTTTAACCTGTGTTTCATATATTCATAAAAACACGGAATATAAGTGCTTTTGGGTATGATGTGCGCCCAGAAGTTTGAAATTTGAATTTTGTAATTTTATCCTAAAGCAAGCGATTTTTTCAAAAAAGATGGGAGAAAATTTGGCATTTTTGTATTAATTGCTCGCAAAAAGTAAACAAAAAAACTTTCAGTTATAACCATATGATACGCGGTTTTATTGAAAGAAGAAAAACATTCCCAGAATATACAAATAATTTTTTCAAAAAATTATTTGGAAAAGATTCAGTTATATGACAGGGTTTTCTTGAAACTAGAAAGGTATTCCCACAACATATAGCCAGTGTTGTTGCAAAAAACTTGGTCAAAATTTGCCAGCTTTATTACAAAGCCATTTTCGTTGCATCCAAAAATTTCTTTAAAAAAGCTTCAGTTTTATTCCACAATATACTGTAAGTGATTTTTTTAAATATGCCTGCCGGCATCTTTGTTGTGACTCTGTTGCATGCAAAAATTCAAATTCAAAAACCAATGACACGGGTTTCCTTTTAATCATCATTCGGTCAAGAAATCGATATAGAGTAAGAAGAAAGTGTAGAGAATCAGAAATAATTTTTTTCTGTGTATTTAACTTACATTAATTTATCCTGGATATATTTTCCAAGGGAAATGAAATAAATACAATAAATGGTCAGTTATATCATGTATATTATATATAAAAAAATTACATATTGATCAATAAATCGACATTTATTAAGATTTTAATTATATCATCTGTTATTATATGTCAGAAGTGTATATGTATGTTTTCCATCAAGTTCCTAATAAGGGCCCAGTTAACATCATCTGCTAACCATAATACTTATAGTTGCATCCCATAAAGTAAAAAAAACTCTAGTGGCACTTGCAACATGATGGGAAGGCTAAAGAGCTTTTATCATTTAAAAGTCTGTTTCGTTGGGTTTTTTAGAAGTAATTTTAATATACTTACGACCTAATCCATCTCATCTATTAAATTCCTAAACACGTCAACTGCTCTATATCTCGAAATACATAAGTTTCAAATAAATCATATATTGTGTACAATTGATAATTAATATTATTAATTGGCAGTGGATTACGAATCAGGAATATGCACCGTCCCAGACCGTTTAACACTTTATCGCGTTTCAAATTCAATAAAATAAAACTACTTTTTAACGCGTATCGCTAAACAAATACAATTAATTAAAGAGATATTAATCTGCAAATAAAAACGGTCGAATAAGAGAGATATAATTCACAAAGTAGCCAAGTAATTTGCTAAGAATATAAACACCTCCGTAACTTTTACTGCCAAATCGATCATAAAGTTGTAAGTTTAATGTTTTATGGACGAAACGTCAGGTGTAAGCATTAGCAGCCAACAAGTGGTTTTTCGACTACTTAAATTGGCAATAAAAACATTGGATTCGATTCGCCGTTCCGGTTTAGATAATTAGATGAATGGTACCAACAAAAAGACATTAAACTTTGCTGTTTTTCTAATTTATCGTATTAGAATCAATCAGTTCAGAAGTTACGCTTTCGTTATTTGGTTATTGTTACCTCTGAAATTTAATTTTAAATATTTTAACCAAATTTCTGACAATAATCATCGTTCAATAAAACTAACACAATATGTAGTATAGTATTCAATTGCAATCAATGAAGCTGATTCAAACTAATTTAATTGAGAAATTGCATTTAAAAAAATGCATAATTTTTACTGGTCTATAAAATATTAACGCTGCTGTCTTGGCGCTTGATTTGGAAATCTTCGGGTCCTTCATGACTCGGTCAACAGACTTTAATGCATCCACAAAACAAATAAATACCGAAAATTCAACTGACGAAGAGCTATTAAAATTCATTCAGTTGTTTTCTCTCTTAATAACTTTACCGACTAATTAATTCGTAATAAATTTTCAGTACCGGCGAACCGAAAAACACGCTTGGGGCACCGACTACAGAAGAGGCCGAACCAGAGAGCAGTTGATCCATCAGCAACTTGGGTGGCCTCCGAATTAAACACTCCGTATGGTATTCGCCATAAGTCTCTGACCGTATAGTAATTATGGAATAGCAGGGTACTTCGACAGTTCGGTGGAAGTCACTACGGTAATTAAGTTAAATTTAAGGGTCAATTAGCTTCCTGAGAACATTAAATGGCAATACCAGTAAATATTGCACAATAAAGGAGAAATAGAAATAAAGTGATGCGTTCGTAATGTTATGGTGGCAAGACAACTTGCCTCGTAAACTCGTAAAAAAGAGTAAAAACTAGTTACTATTTATTTTTAAAAAATGATGAATCAAATTTTACTTCAATTTGCTAATCTCTTATTAAGAATTAATTGAAAATTGTTTTCATCTGGTAACGGTTAACTTTTGGGTTTTAAACGGTCCTATTTTTCAGATTTAATTCAGGCTCTAGAGAAGATGCCGCTGCTGGGTTCAATCGCATTGCCAAACTTTAAATCGCAACCCTTTGCCGTAATGCCGGCGGGATAATATAAATGGGCGCTGGAGCATGAAACTGAACCAAGAGTTTCTGAGATGTAATTCAGAGACGGGACATATCTTTAACTCTCGAAGGTATATATAACTTTGTTGCTGTCGTCTAATATATATTACGACCATTAAACGTTAAAACGAAAATTAAGTTTTACAAGGTTGCTAGCTAGATCGTTTCATTTTCATTAGAGTGTTAATTACTATTTTTTTTTTAGTTTCTCGTTAGCCTAGAATTTAAATCAGTTTTTATGATTTATTCCTGTTTCACAATTGCAAGAATCGTCACTCCTGTAAAGATAATCGATATTAATGTAAAAAAAGCAAAATAAATGTCAAATACGAGTATCAAAATTGATGGATGTATGGTGCTATGAGGTATTAATAATTAGGAACATTAAGAAAGTAACTTATTATTATTATATATTATATTACTATATTGTATATTGTATTTTCATCATTCAGGTTTAAAATTATATTGCACGTTTTATAATAATTTAATGCTGGAAAGTTTCCAATTTCTCTGGTTTTACAAAAAAGTGTTCAAAATATTTCTATAGATAGTAAAAATAGAGACATCGCAGCAAAACAATTTCGACTAATTTCGTTAATTGTCCATTTTAATTCTAAAGAATATGGTGGTTAGTTAATAAAAACAAAGAGCATTTGTTTTGCATTTAATTTTTTTACAAACCTTGCTTTGGGTAATTATTTTCTTTTAATAAAATATAAATAGAGATTTTCTACCTTTTCCTTTATATAACCTCTAT